AAAGGACGGTGCTGCTGAAGGCCAGTCAATGTCAAACTGGTAATTCACATCCAAGGCTGATGAGTGTGGCTCACCCGTCTCTTCCTGTTGATTTTCCCAAGCAACCTCATGCCCCAGTTCTTCCCTGCCTGCCTCACCACAGTAATTCCACCCAAGTTATTCGCCCAGAGGCTGCCTTGCTGAGGCCACATTCTCAATTCAGTCTGCATGGCTGATGGAATCTAGTACGATCATCTTTAGAGTATAAACTCCGAAGCTGGCAGCTTGGCTGGGCATAATGGTGTATGCCTGAAATCCCAGCTGCTTGGGCAACTGAGGCAGGGGGATCATAAGTTCCAGGTTAGCCTGGGCAACTTTGTGAGATCTTGTCTCAAGGTAAAAAATAAAAAGGGTTAGAGAAGTATCTCAGTGGTAGAGTGCTTACCTAGCAGGCATGAGCCCCTGAGTTTGATCCCCAGTTCTGCAAAAAATAAAAACAAAGTCGCCAGCTTTGCTATTTTGTATTCAGTCAGTATTCCGATTTTCACACAACGATTTCTAACTTTTAACTCTGCATCACCACCCATTATACCCCAGTACTGTCCACTTCAGTAGTGTGTACATTCTTGAGGGCTCCACTACATTAGGTCATAGAATGTGTATCCCAAATCTTCAAAGATTTGCAGTGCTTTGGGAGAGGCCTAAGCAAAAAGCAATTTTTAAGAGTTCAATTTTGCTTTAGACCTATTATACATCAAGTCATTTTTGAAAATTAGGACTATCAGAAGAACAGATGTCACACAACCTCAAAGCAGTAAGCTTTGCATTTTAAACCTTAGCCACGAAGCCTAAAACGTGGAAGGGTTCCAGGCTTAGAACATGAACATACTCAAATACAGTTTATTAAATCAATAGATCCACTATAGAGGTTACTAGCAGTTCTCCCAGTGTGGTCCCAGACCAGCAGCCTCATGACTACCTGAGAATTTGTTTCAGAAATGCACATTCCCAGGCCCCACTTTGACCTACAGAATCAGAAACCCTAAGACTGGGGCCCAGAAATCTGAATGTTAAGTAGTCCTCCTGGTGTTTCTGATGCAGACTAAAGGTTGTCAACATCTCTAGAAACATGAACCCAAGTAAGAACAAAACATTTACAATGGACCCTTGACGTACGAACTCAATTCATTCTCGAGGTCGGGTTGTAACCCAAGTTGGTCAATTGAAGGCTCAGGTCCCTCCTCACCTTCAAAGTCTCTTTGCTGTGTACAGGCAGATCTCAGTGTCCTTAGAGAGACATTGGCCCAGGATTTCTCAATTAACTCCACACAAGAAAGGATGTTGTAATGTTCCTTCCAGGACTCTTAATGGTTAAATCTGTATCTGAGACCATCTGGAAGCATAAGCAGCCAGCATTCGGGCCAAGTAACTCAAAACTTTGTTTCTAAGTTAAAACTAAAACTCTGGTCATAACCCAAGTTGTTTGTATGTCAAGCTGGTCATAACTCAAGGGTCCACTGTAACTGTTTTTAAGTGCTAAGATAAAATATGTAGCCAAAGAAGCTTTGGCTATCTGTATAGTTATGTTCTTTGGGGCAGAAAATGACTCTAAACCAAGTTGCATATTGCTTGAAGAAGAAACTGTGGTGATCCTAGGATTTCCTTAGACATTATTGAGAAGTAACCAACCCTAACTAACCAAACTAGAGCAGAGTTTGAAACGGCATCATTCAAGCTCCTTCCTAGGACAGTGTCGAACCTTCTTGGTGGAATCAAATGATGTGCTGAAATTAAGACTCTATAATCTATTGGGCAGCATTGGGAAAGCTGTACCACACCAATAAATTCACAGTGCGATGTTCAATATAGCTATTTGAATGTTCTTCAGCTTTGGAGCCAGCTGCTGCTTGCCAGTCCTGATGTCTGAAAGAGTTAACCATCAAAAGTCCCAGCTCTTGGGCCGGGGATTTAGCTCAGTGGTTCCGGCGCCTGCCTCGCAAGTGCAAGGTCCTAAGTTCGATCCCCGGTTCCAAAAAAAAAAGCCCCACCTCTCAGGTGCCAAAAGATTATAATTTATGTCAAACAATGACCTGATCACCTCACAAATTACAGGAATTTAATAAATGTTAATTATTGTATGTATAAAATATTTTCCTCTTATAAGTGCTAGAAATATTTAGCTATAGAAAAATACTACAGAATTATTCTCATCGTGACTGTGATTGTATTTAGCGGTCTCCATAGAAGTGCTATAGGCTAGAAACTTACACACGAAGAATGAGACAGGACAAGGAGAGGCACATGCTCCCAAAGTCTCATGTACTCAGGGGAGGGCTTGTGGAGGGTGGTTAGATTATGGGGTCCTCCAGATGACTTGCTGCTAGGAGGTGGGCCATTGAGGGTGTGATCTAGGAGGGTCTATCTTTCTCCTCAGCTACTCCCTTCCTGGCTTTCACTTGCTGCTTCCTGGGGCCATGATGTGAGCAGCTTTTCTCCTAGGCAGGCCCTTCTTGCTTTGGAAGTAGCAACTACAGACCAAACATTGAGCCAAAATAAACTTCTTTAAATTGTGGGTGTTGGGTATTCTGTCCCAGCAATGAGGAAAAGTGACTGAGACTGGATGTCATGTAATGGTAGATGCTTGCCTAGCCCATGCCAGTCTCTGGGCTGATCTCCAGCCCAGGGGTGGGGGTGCTATGGTTAGAAAAGCCAGGATATGATTTGTTAATGAAAAGAATGAGAAAAAATATTTAAGTTATCTGAGAATACAAATGTATATATACACATGTAACACTGCATAGAAGTGATACTTAAGAAAACTACACATACTGTAAATATTTAAGTGAAACGAAGAGAAAATCTGGAAACTAGAAGGAAAACAATCACAGCCCACTCATGAAATATGAATGAATACAGCGGTCACAGTAAAACCAAACTTGGTTCTATGCATTTTGAGGCCATAGAGACACAGCTTCCTTGCCTTGAATAGGGTTGATTACAACCATTTCCTGGTATTTTATAGGTGAATTTGCCTAGCACGGTTCTTAGCACATAAAAGTGAGCCACGTGTAGGTGGCGGAGCATTGCTGAGCTCTGCCTTGTAACCCCTGTTCAAGCCAAGGGGTAGCTATACAAACATATGGCTTGCCGGGTCTCAACAATCCCATGCTACCCATCTCCTGGAGAGGTGGGTGGGGACTTTAAGGTCACAGTTTAGGAAGAAACCCCTCTCCCTCAGGCCATCTCCCTCTGTCAGACAGCTGCACTCACAATGCTGCGCACAGCCATTTCTGATCCTCAAGATCATGACAGGACAGGAAGGCACAATTTTTATCATTTTCATTAGAAGTAGGAAATTCTCAATCATCTGGACACTTTCCCAAGATTCCAGACCAACCCCACCCCACCCCAGCAATGGGGTATGTGCTGCAACACCTCTTACAGAACTCTTCCCCCAAACCGGTCTCACCCCTGAAGTCAGGGCTGGAGTCGGGCTCTGCAAAGCACTTGCCCAGAATAGAAAGGAGGACTATTTCTTTAACTCAGAATTCTTTGAAATGAGTTTCCCCTTCTCTATGAGCTCCTGGCTGTACAAGGAGCCAGTCTCCCTCTTGGCCGGATGTGCCACATGACTTTGCCTCTGCCAACAGACTGGCAAGCGGGTGACCTGCTCTTCCCCACTGGTGGCTGGAGGAAATGGGCAAGAAGAGCAACCTTGGAAATTTACAGGGCCACACTGCTGGCCTGGGTCCCCGGGTCTTAGGTGGGACAGAAGCAAACCCTACTGATTTAAGCTACTGATCTTTGAACCTCTGTCACAGCAACTGAATCTCTAACCTACTACTGGAGAAAACAAGGAAGGAAGGGAAGCAGAGAGAATGGAAAAGGTAAACACATTAGTAAGCCACCAGAGCCTACTTCATTATACTAGGAAGGAAGGAGAGAGAAGTCAGCTTTAGTACTTAGTGGTTGCCATTCTCTTAGTGAAAATATTTAACAAATTCTGTATATAAACAAGTATTTTTTGGCAAAAAGTAAACAAAGCAATATTCTTAAAAATATAAAAACAAGAAAGTCTTGATGAAAAACAAAAAATATTAAGACAAACTGCCAAAAACTTGCTGTCTGGTAAGGAAACAAGAACATTAAAAATCCTTAGGTGTTATTTTTAAATAGCTAGGGGAAAAAGGCTTTAAATTATGAAGCAAGTTCTTTTCTAAAATGTAACAGTAAATAACAGGTGTACAAGGGATGTAGCCCTTGCAGGAAGAAACATGCTTGTTAACCTAAAAGCCCAGGGTTATAGATTCCATCTAACCAAATTAGTAAAAGCTTGTCCACGAAGATAAAGACCAAAGACAGATGACAGGTCGTGATGGCTGGAGCTGCTCGGACAGCCCTAATGAGGAGAGCAGGGCTGAGGGCTGGGCTGGCTGGACTATCTGAGTTAACATAATGGATTATGGGAGCACTAATGAAGACAAAACCAGCTCACTTTCACCTTTCTTTTACAAGGCAATGAACTCTCCAGCTTTCTGGACATCATAAATTATAACACCAATAAAACCAAAAGTCACCTATATTTCTTGAAATGCAAAGGTTGGAAGAGAATATAGACTTGAAAAGACTGGGCTTTCCTAGAGAAAAGAGATCCTGCCTCCTGACACATCACCAGGAAAAAGGAAAGCTTTAATTTGTGACCTGAATCACGAGAGTTTCATAACAAAGAATGAGTCTTAAAATAAATTTAGCTTCCTAGATTAAACTGTCATTAATATATCTCCAGTTACTTCCATTTTGTAGTCTTGAGTTTCTGGTAACTCAGAAGTGCTTGCTAGGTTGATTTTTTTTTTCTTTCTTTCTTTTTGTTTTCTGACACAGGGTCTGGCTCTGTAGTCCATGCTGGCCTCACTATGTAGCTCAGGCTGGCCTGGAACTTGTGGTGATCCTCCTGCCTCAGTTTCCTGAGTGCTGGAATTTCAGGCAGGCACAACCAAACCCAGCAGGTTCATGTTCCAATGTAGCATAAGTCCACAGCCAAATTTATTTATAAAATAACAAGTGCTTTTTAAAACTCTCTGAACACATGCACAGACTTTGCTTATACAACCTTCATCGATGATCCCAAAGCTGTGATATAAACAGTAAAGGAAAAGGAGAACAAAAGAGAACTACTTATTGGTACTAAACCCTTTACTGTAATAAACCAAATATATTTACAATTTATACAAATGTTTAACCTTCAACAAAAATACAAAAAAACATTTCACAAGATGCAGAATCAGGAAACAGGTTCATCAGAGATACCACTGCTCTACAAGGATGGAATTTGAGGTGAACTGGACAGAACAGAGAGCCTCACACCATCAAGGCGCGAGCAACAGGCCGGAGGGAAGGGCAGGCATGGCTCGAGTGAGCAGGTCCACTCCTCAGTCCCATGCCCTTGGCCCCTGGTCCATGCGGTCTCAGCTACTTCTGGTCTAGGTAGGCAGACAGGTGACTTTCTGTTGGCAGACTCATTGCCTCCTCTTTGTAGACATGGGGTAGTATTGTGTTCAGGTTTGGAAACAGGTATTTTGTTTTGTATGTATTTTTTTTTTCATTTAAAGTTACAACTTCTCTATTTCTACAAATTCAAAACATTTGGCCCAATTCAACTATAAATGTTAAACCCTGTTATGTTTTCAGTAGATGACTTCATAGACTGTGGCCTTCTTGTCACCCGAGCCAGTGACAATGTACTTGTCATCCACAGAGATGTCACAGCTCAGCACAGAGGAGGACTCTTTGGACTGGAAGAGAAGAGAATAGGCATGTGTTTAAGGCAGAGCCAGGACACCAGGGCCCTGCTCCCTCCGGCACACCTACGCTCTGGTTTCAGAGGTGACAAGGCCACCACACTGCCATACTGACCTGGAAGATACTGGCTCCGTAGGGGGTCCGCCAAGCATTGAGGAGGTTGTCTTTTCCAGTACTCACAAACCACTTACCTAGAATGAGCACAGCATACACAGCTTTAGCAACACTGAAATTCCTTCTACATTAGCAACTTGGTCTCAATCAAACAGCATTTGTAATGCATAAACCATCTTGCCTAAGTAGTTAGTCTACACCCTAAGAGGAGGTTTTAAGTCTGGGCTCCCCAGTGAATGAATTATCTATGTGATCTTGAGTAGAATCCAAGGAGTATCAGCCTCACTGGTCACTGGACAGATGACCTGCAGCATCACCCAACATATGATGGTCCCTCAGACACTGAATCAATAAAGCTCTCAGTCTCCTAATAATGAAGTAGAAGAATTAAATGTTGGCCTACATGAAATGCCAGTCATGTTCTGTGACATGCAGAATGTGCTCCGTAAGTGTACCTACCCATCCAACTGCCCACTCAGTGAAACAACAGATGGCCACCTAAACACACAAGAACAGCTCCCATAGAACTTCAAGCCTTTTTGTCTTTACTGCAGGATGAAAGAGTCTGGATGTAGCTAAATATCCTCTTTCCTGACCCTGAGTCCCCCATCCTGGTCAATTCACAACGGCATCCACAGCTTCTGTCTCATTCTTCTAAAAATTCCCACCCAGCCCTCTTCAGAGTGGTAAAAACTACCCACACCCCACTGAAACAAGTATGTGTCCAAACCTTGCATTAGGCAATTTCATTGCCTGCTGACTCTTCTCAAATTAGCAAAACAGACTGAAACAGAAATCACTACACTCCAAGGGACACAGCAAAACAATAGAATTATTGCATCCAGCTGTTTGGAGAGTGACATTTTTTCCAGATATGATCTTTTAACCATATTTTTTTAGAAGTATTTTCCATTTAGGCCATCCAGGGCCTCCAGTTTCCTTGCAGTTGAACTCACCACAATAAGCAAATTTTAGGGACAGCACACAGCTCTCGTGGAGATGCAGCTGGTACTTGTCAGGCTTGTTCACATGCAGAACCTCCACGTTGCTGCTCTCCATGCCCACAGCCAGCCACTCCCCAGTCGGGCAGTAGCCCAGCGAGAAGATCTGTGAGAAACAGAGCAGGCTCATGAATTACTCTGCTCAATAAACTTGGGTGGGGGCAAGAACAAGGGAAGAAATCAGCCAAATCCAGACTGTGGAAAAGCACACAGGACAAGCGACCCAATTCAGATGAACCAAATGTCAAAACCCTTTGTGAGGCTGGGGATGGAGCTTGCCCTGGGTTCCATCCCCTCAAACAAATACACCTTTCTGAAACAACTGGAAAAATGTCAACACTTCCATTCTATGTAATGAAATTAAGAAGTTCTTTCTTTGCAGTACTGGAGACCGAACCCAAGTGTACTTTACCACTGAACTACACTCCTAGGCCTTTTTATTTTCTGTGAGGCAGGGTCTAAGTTTCCCAGGCTGGCCTTAAACTTGTGATACTTTTACCTCAGCTTCTCAAGTAACTGGGATTATAGTTGTACCACTACATTCAGCTAGGGATTATTCTTAATACTAAGGGTATTTGTTTGTATGTTTAAAAGAAGTCCTTATCTTTTTAGAGATATTAACTGCATGTTCACAGACAAAATTATATGAAATCTAGAACTTATTTTAAAATAATCCAGTGCTCGGGGCAGGCAGTGTGTGGGGAACTGATGAGAAAGACAGGCCGGGAGCTGAGCCCTGCTGATGTCGGGTCACGGGCACCAGAACCTCTGCCCCTTCATGTATGTTTGGACACCTTCAGTATTCATATATATTTGAGAATTCCATAAGAAGTTAAAAATAAGGAGATCAAAACTACAATCCTACTCACATTAGGAAAGGGCTAAACAAGGAAGACTATAAACAAAATCAAAATGTTAACAGGGACATAAAATTCATCATTATATATAGTTGTTTCCTATTTTTGCCTATTTTTCTAATTCAAGCTGTTTTTTAGTATAAAAAAGATAAATGTCATGTAATGAAGAATAATTCTATCACCAGAATGCACTTCAAATGCAGGCACTGCCTTTCCTGAAACAAGTCTAGATCCAGACACTTGACATCTAATTGCTTGACACAATTTACAAAGTTGCTATTTTTACATTATTGCAAAACTCCATAAATCTAGTTAGCCATGAGTCCATTTTTTTAAGGGACAAGTAATAAAATGGGCATCCACTGAGATACTGATGCATTTTTCTTAAGCTCCTCGATGCAGGGGAAGTGAATTAACTTGCAAAGTTGTTGTGAATTTCCACTACTCCTCATGACAACCTGCGCATTCTTCAAATTCTATTTAAACAGGAGTCAAATCATCTCTCTCCCAGCATTGAACCGTGAGAATATACACAACAGACCAAGCTGTGTTGAAGGAAAACTGTGTGCCTCACTGTATGAATGTCTTAAACCCATACATAGATAGGGCAGCTAGGATGTCTTTAACTACAGCACTTTAGACACACCAAGTACTTCAGGGGTGTTCATTTGTGTGTTTTATTTTCCTTAAATCAGTTATCTCATGTTGAACTCTGCTGATCTGTCTGTCCAGCTACCCTTCCACTGGGGCAGGGCACGACACACAGTCTGCCCCACGGACCCCACAGCAGGCGAGGCCAGACAGTCACCTGTGAGGTGAAGTCGTGCTGCTGCAGCTGCCGCCCCTCACGCAGGTCCCAGGACCTGACGGTGTTGTCCAAGCCGCCCGTCCAGAGCTTGGTGCCGTCGTTAGAAATGTCAATACAGCTGGCTCCGTCTGTGTGGCCCTGGAACTGCCTGATAAAACAAACCAGATTGAATAATGATTTCCTGCCAGAGCTTAAGGTAAACACTGTTGTTGTTAGTTTTGGATTCCATGTGTGTTATCTTGTCAGTGTCTGCTGATGTGTAAGATCAAACTAACTTTCCCTGGGAAGACAGGAAAATGCACCTGAATAGTTGGTTTCTTTTTTTACCATCCAAGGGCTAAAGAGATAGAATGCCACTGGAGGTCACTACCCAGAAGTCAGATTTGCTGCTCTCACTTCTATGCCAAATCTGTCTAGAAGGTAAGACTCCTCCCCAGGTCTGAAAAGTGTTAAAAGAAAATAAAGGAGAAACACACAATCCCAGTGTGTCCTTCAGGAAAGATAAAGTCCTGCTCTGTGAGAAGTGGCTGTGTTCCAGAAGCATCCTCTCCCCTTGAGCAAATCAACCATTTGTGCCAAACCTTCGTGCCAACAGAGCGTGAGCTCACCTGTTTACTCAACCCTACCTTCTGAATTAGAAAGAGCCTTGTGTTAGGAAATCTGGACTTCCAGAGACAAAGGGTCACGCAGCATCCTGATTCGGTGCACTGGGCAGAGATAAAGCTAATTACTGAGGCAGATCCACGGGCAGCACCCTGCCTCCAAGCTGAGCACAGGATTTTTATTCTTAGGAGAACCTTTCTGGCCTCTGAGACAATCAGACATTGGGGACTTGTTGAGCACAGGTGCTGCTCAAGGCTGCAGGGGCCTCGATCTTGGGAGCATGCAGCAGTGGTGCCTGTCAGGGACTCAGCTCTGCCTGCTGAGAGGGAGCTGAGGAGTGGGAGAGGTCAGGAGCCACCTTCAGAATCGGGTAAGACTGAGTGAAGACCACAGGCTCAGAGTTTCTGATGTCCCGTGCCTTTTCCTTTAGGATCCCCTCCCCCCGCCCTGCTCCTTATTCCCACAGAGCTCCAAACTTCTAAAGCTGAGCTTGGAATTTATAAGAGCACATGGGAAGCGCCCGTGCTGCTCTGAATTCTGAGTTAACACTTCTCCTCCGTGAGCTAGGGCAAGCGTCCTTGCCTTGGGAAGTGACGGCAGCTCCAGCTCGGTCCTCTTCCCTAACAGGCAGGCTTGCCTCCAGGGTGTCCCTGAGGTGCTTCCTGTCTTCCTCATCACAGCTCTGAAAACCCAGTCCTCCCCGCATCCTATCACCTTGTGACTTCTCTTCACTTCTTTAATTCAGTTAATGTGTTGTCCCCTAAAAACATCCTTTCCTGCTCACACCTGACAGCGCCCCTACATCTGCCACCATCCATGTCCTGATGGCAGTGCCACTCTCCGGCTGCCAAAAGACAGAGCCATGAGTCTTCATGATGTGCTGTGTCACAAGAAACACAATGACCTGTGTCCTGCACAGAGCGGCCACTCATCACAGGTGCCACTACAGCCTGACAGAGCCTGGAAGGCACCAGCCTCTCCTGGACAACAGGCCTTCCTTGCAGGGAGCCGGCACACAGTGGAGCGCAGAGCATAGCCATGGCAGGAGGGCTGTGCAGCTCCACCATGCTGCCTTGGTGAGCAGGGTGAGCCACTCAACCTTCCCACGCCCCAGGCTGCTCTCTGTAAACATGGGATGAAGCAGATCAGACTAAATGGGATCCCAATTGAAAAGTGCTTAGGACTAATATTTTGAAGTGCTATTAAGTTACAGAAGAAACAAAAAGAAAGTAACTTTTTCTAAAGATAGAAGGGGTGTTGTAACCTGGCTCCACGAGTTCCTTCGGTTCACTCTGTGCTGTATCACCAATGTGCCTGCCTTCACAGTACTGGATTTCTGTAAGGATGTCTGAAGGAGTCGGGCTGCCATGATGACCTCTACAGCCCCACACGTGCACCCGACTGGCAGTGGGGCCTGCACCAGATAAGCCGCAGGCCTCAAATGCAGTATCAACTAAGGAAATTTCTGAACAGCAATGAAACGTGGCAAAGAGCCAAACACACCCGACTGTACCTGTGATGTTGCGTGTTTACCTCTTTCTCTTTTTGGTACTGCGAACAGACCTTGGGCCTTTGCACTGAGTTACAACCCTACTCCTTTTTGGTTAATGTTTTATTTGAGCTAGGGTCTCATTAAGTTGCTAAATTGCTGAGTTTGAATTCATGCTCTTCCTGCTTCAGCCTCCCAGAGTGCTAGGATCACAGGCAGGTCCCACCATGCACAGCTCAGTGCTTACTTCTTAAAAGACTTTCCCAGGACATCTCTGGTGTGAGCCCTGACCAAGGTAGCAGAGGCCTAACAGGAGCTGAGGTTGAGAGGATGGATTCCGGGAAGCCAGGCAGAGCACCCCATTCCTGAAAGGGGTAAACCCTGAACAGGACTCTTACGTAGTTACTGAAAAACACAGACACTGTGGGTCTGTGGGTTCAATTCATGGAATCTCTTCTAATGTCCTTTTGTTGATTTTGTGTTGTCTTTTCCTCAGCTGGCTCCTGTTTGCATAAACAAGGTTCTGACCAAAGCTCAAAACACCCAGGGCTCTTCATACTGCCGTGTAATCGACATTAACCCCACATCCCCAAGCCAGGCCTGCCCCTCAACGTGGGCTGAAGAACAGAAGCCCAAAGAAGACCATCCGGCACACTGCTTGACAGACCGTGGAGCCCCCCTGGGTGTTCCCAGCACCCAGTTCCATCCTGGCCTGGTAGCAGATGGGCCGGGAACCTAGGGGCAGCCAGAGAAGCCAAGGTGACAGGAGGCCTTCTCTCCAGGCCACCACTGCAAGAGGGGCCTCTCCTAGAGATCCACCTGTGCTCACCTCACCAGCGTCTGGTTGTGCAGGTCCCACACGGCGATGTTGCCGTCGCTGCAGCATGAGAAGCAGACCTTGGAGTCAGGGCTGATGGCCAGGGCGTAGCAGGCGGGTGCCGAGGATGTCAGCTCTGCTTTGATGCGTGGGGTTGGAGCCGCCAGATCCCAAATGGACAAAGTACTGGCTTCCCCTCCCACTATGAGAGTGCAGCCATCAGGTAGCAATTTACAAGAGCGGATGTAATTATCTCTGTTCTGTGAAATAAACATAATTCAATTGCTATAATGTAGCACCGGGCAATAATAGTGCCTCGCTGTAACTGCTGTCTTGGTTTCTGACTGAGGAGTGGCATTGTATGAACTGTATTCCAGAGGAAAGATCAGGGTCCAAATGCAATTGCTTCCTTCATAAATAGTAAACAAAACAAACTGACAGGATTGCTCTGCCGTGTGCAGAAGCTCATGGGACAGACCCTGATGCTCTGCTCCGAAGGCAGACCTGAAATTGTCTAGGTGTATGGCCAGTGTGCAGACTTGTCAACAAAGAAACACTTTTCAAAGCAAGTTTTACATCTTTTATGTTGCCCCTCTCTATTATTTACTATTTGGGAACTGCAGGCCCCCTGCATATGCTTTGGTTTGCAGGCTCTTAACTCTCTACCAAATGTTACACTGTAGTTTTCTTTAGTCAGAAGATTCTTACCTAAGAATTTCATAGAGCTGCTCTCTTAACTTGTGATTTTATTTTGCTATACTGAGGACTGAATCCAGGACCGCACACATGCTAGGTAAGTGCTCTATTACTGAGCTTCACACCCATCCCTTTTTATTTTATTTTGAGACAGCATCTCACTAAGCTGCTCAGGCTGGGCTTGAACTTAAAATCCTCCTACCTCAGCCTCCGGAGCAGCTGGGATTATGGGCTATAATGCAACTCCTGTCTCATGTAAGCCTCTCAATTCAAAGGCCAAAGAACTTGATAAAAGGTGGCATTTCCCCAGCAAAAACCCAGCACATTGAAGAAAGTAGGTGGGGTGGGACCTAATACGATTCACCTCCAGGACAGAAGTCGCTGTTGTCTTCCGTCCCAGACCCCAGTGAACAAGCTTTAACAGTGCCCTATCTTCTGAAGATCACAGGAACTTTAAGCACAAAACTTCAAAAGAGAACACTGCTACTACTATAGAACATTGGACTGAAGTCCAAGTTTCATTAAAGGAAGTATTTTTGAGTTATTTAATTTAAAGAAAAAGTACTAGTAGCTATCCCCCTAAAGTCTTCATGTCTCAAGAACAATGCCACTCTGCTTTTTGGGAACATGGCCTCTGCAACCCTCATGTCCACCCAGACAGTGAATCTTTGTGTAGGCAGACGCCCCAGGGAAGGCGGCCAACCAGGGGTTTGTAAATCCTGGGGTTACACTTTTCAGACCTAACATGGTATGTTCTGTGCCCCTGAAAATGCAAACTGGTATTCTTAGACCTTGTATGCCTTGGGAAGGTGTTCCTTCCGTGCCTGTTGTGCTGACTGAGGCCCCACACCTTGGAAGTGTGATCTTTTAACTCTTCCTGAAATTAAGGTAGTAAAACCCAGCCAGCTCTCCCAGGTCTCCCTTAACAAAACAGACCCTGTCCATGGGGGATTTTCAAGCCTCAATATCAAATGTTTACTAGTCAACATTTATCTGCAGGCTGCCAGGAAATTAAAAATGGATTGGAACCAGAGTCCAGACCTAGCTGTGCTTTTCATCCACTAAACGGGAAACCCCCTTTGTAATACACTTCTACACATCAAGAGCTTCTAAAACACACTGTAAACTATTTTCAACAAGAAATCTATGCATGCTGGGATCCAACCACTTCCACAGCAACAAATGAAACCTCACTGCAGGAACGGAGTGGGTGGGGGAGAGAATCAGCATAGGAAACAGGTGGGCTCCTATTTCCTCCTAATGGGCATGAAACCCAGGCCCGGACAGCTATCTCCTTATTGAGTCTCCGAGGAGAAATTGCCTGTGTGCAGCAGCTCCTGCGCACTCACCAGACAGTCCAGCTGAGAGACAGGACTCTTATTGCCAGGGTGGCTGATGTCCCACACCTTGACGCAGCCCTTGCCGCCTGTGTACACGTGTCTCGTGGGGTTGCTGATGGTGACCGCGCACACCACCTCCCCGTGGTTGAGCGTGTTGATCTGGCGAGCGTGTCGGGGGATTCC